ATGTTTCTTCCTGCAATTGCTGCAATCTGAATGGTACAACATGTCTTGAACGTTTTTTGGAAGTCGCAGCTAAATCATATTGCTACTCAGTGCTACTCTGCTGCACATGTCACCACTGCAGCCACCACGTCTCACAATTACGTGCATCGCACGCGGCTGGGGCCTTGGTCGGCACCATGCCGTAGTCTTCAACGACCGGCGCCTAGATGCGTCAACGTGTTGTCGCTGCCATCAGCATAATCCCGCTCAAGACGACTCCAACCCCGCGTGAACACATGACCGAATGAACGGCCCCGCCTTTGGCGGGGTCATGGTCTGACTGTCAGGCGCCTGTTCGCGAAGTCTATGCCAGGTCTCAAGCGTGCGAGGCGCGGTGAGATGCGTGGCGCGCGGAGTGTCCTTTTTGCACACGCTCAAACGATGCTGCAGCTGCACTGGTGGAGCCTAGTCTCTGGCTGCCTCAGCTTGACAAGGACAAATGTATGAAACACTTTGTCGTGCGGCGCACCGTTCGTAAATGGCTTCTCTTGCTGCAATTTACAATCCAAGGAGGGCTTAAGTAGCCAGTCCCTGAACACCACCCTTCCCCTCACCTCGCCTCAAACGGCAGATTTACTCTCAGTTGGGGCGAGCTAGTTTTGGTCTACTTCTGCTCCGTTTCCAGTCTCCTCCTGGACTCCCAAGCCGTTCGAAAGTTCCCCCAAGCCCCGGCAACCCGAGGCTCCGTGAGGTCCATCCCCAGCAGCTCGTCGAGATCCTCGTCGATGTCCAGATCGCTCTCCTCCCGAAAATCGGAAGCCAGGCCCACTTGGGCCAGAGGCCGAAGGCAGAACATTCACGAACAGGTGAGACCTGTAAATTGGCATGGCGCAAGGCATACATTGGTGTTCTGACAGCATCAAGAGGGCGGAAGAGCCAACTTTCATGCGCCCAGGTTCGATATCTAGAAACATGCCTACACACTCAGTCCTTGGAGCGGCGTAAGTTTGTGGGCGCACGGGAAGTGCATGCGCATAGCTTGCTTGATACTGGCAACAAGTGGTACCAACTTGGATCGGGGAACACAGCCTGATGGCGACTGTTGATGATTTGTTTGAGGAGGTCCATGTCTCTATGCTCTACCTCACACGTCTGCAAACGGTCTCAAGCATTCACACGTGACCTTAAACTGCAAATCAGGTTCTACAACTCAATGTCCCACAGCTGCTTGCTCCTGATGACAATCAAAAAGGTTCGCGACATTAAATCCGAAATTTGGTAATGTTGTATGTTCAAACACATCAAGCTTAAATGTATTGAGCATGGGTCCAATGTGGTTTGAGCTGTTTGCTGCGCCTCAAACCCAAGGCACGCAAACCCAATTCGGCCTCGCCTCGGACTCGGGGCGCTGCATGTCCTCGCTGTTGCGGTCGGTCAAGCATCCATGTGGCGGTTCGTTTGGAAACCCCTCTTTGGTTAGAAAGCAAAACAGGACACCATCCGTCCAGTTCCCCCACTCATTTTGAGACGTATGGAGCTTCGGGGGCATTTCTTGTGAGAGCCCGAAAACTTGTAGAAAGCTGGGATCGCGTCATGCTCCAAGGGAAAATCATTTGTCCCATTGGTGGTATTCAACCCTCTCTCAGAGGGGCCCTCTCAAAGGGAGCTGAATGAATTGCCTCCCAGAGCTCAGCAGTTTCCAATGGCGGGAAGCGATAGACGGGATTCACTTTCTTCCGCGCTTGGGTTGCATTGGCCTATTTCTGCAATTCTCACAGAGCTTGAGGTCCGCATGGACAACAGGCCGAGTATTATACATATATATATATATGTATATATTATACACATGGACATCCATCTATCTTTCTATCTGTCTATCTTTCTGTCTATCTTTCTATCTATATTTGTATCTATCTATCTATCTATCTATCTATCTATCTATCTATCTATCTATCTATCTATCTATCTATCTATCTATCTATCTATCTATCTATATGTATATATACACATATAATAGCCAAATGGTCTACTGCAACCTGTTCGCGATGCAAAGGGCTGGCCTGCCACTCATTCTTCCGGTGCGGCGTCAGGTCCAAGGTTTTATTCTTCACGCTCTTTCTGACGCCCCGCCGCTTGGTGGCACCTGAGCTGAACCCCCTGCTGCTTCTCTTCGGACTGATGCGTCTACGTTTGTCTTGCATTGTTGATTTGTCTAAGTATCCAGTATGTTTCTTGTCAGCCAACAGCGACCGGCAAAGGACACGTTCTTCGTACGCCACATCTGGCTGGGCACTTGGGCTCCTTGTCCCAAAATCGGTGACGCCGTGATGGTTTCAAAGCAAATCCAAGGGAATCCAGTGTGTGTTTTTTTTTTGGGGGGGGGGCCAAGACCACGGATTTTGGCGGAAAAAGGCAGTGGCGCTGGCACCCGGAGTCAAAGCTCGCAGAAAATGCTCAGACCCGGGCCCTCCTCCGGCACCTGCTTGGCCCGCAGCTCCTGGCGCTCCGAGTTCGGGAGCTGAGTCGCTTGAAGGGATACCCTCCCACCAGCTAACATGGAAGTGCACAGACCCCTGTAGAAAGACTACATTCCTCTTGGTTAGTTGGCCTTTTTGCACTTCCATGTTAGTTGGTGGGAGAGTAAGTCCAACGCTCGAAGCCTGTGGACGATGAAACCCCCCCCCAAAAAAAAACAAGCCTTTCCACTGAGAGTCAAATTTGGACTTCCGCATTTCACATGAGCTGGGGGGAAATATGTCCTTTCCCAACTGATGATGGAAATGTTGCCGTGTGGCCAGAGAGCAAGTTGGCAGCTTGAGCGCTCCGAAAGGCCAGTGCTCCCTGAAATCTGCTCCCTGAAGTCTGCTCCAGGTCTGACACACAAAAAATGTCTCATACTTGGGCTTCGACCCAATGTTGCGCTGGATCCCTGATAAAAGCCATATGAAGCGGGTGCCATTGCTGAGATACATCTGTTAAAGTGATCCAGAGGAAGGCTGCAATTCTGGTACCGAGCAATCCACACAGCCAGTGAGCCATGTGTTTGATTCTCTGTAATACAAGTCAATATGTAGTATCAGTTAGCTTGTCTCCCAATTGAATCGCTTGCGACGTGGCGCTTCATGCTTTGTGCTCCCACGCAAACACGCTCTCACGGCAGAATGGGAGATGGATGAATGCCACACCTCGATCGAATGAGCGTCCCAGTGCAGAATGGCCCCCTTTCACCTTTCGTGAAACCCAAGAGGAAGCCTACACCTTTTGGCGGCCAAGCATGCTTCCAACAGTATAGTTCCCATCCCCATGACTATTCGTCACTTTGAAGGAGATATCCTTGGTGCGACACCAAAACGGGCCTAATTTCAGGCTTCCACAATGTTCCAAAGGGAATCCAAAGGAACATGGTCGTTTCCCGAGTTCATCATCCCAAATTACACTTCCCGTTCCAGCCTGATTCTCCCGCTCAGTCTGCTCAAGCCTGGGCTTGACATGTGCACGGCTTTCCACATTTTCTGTGCTTTTCTGTCGGGGGATAACGGGAACCACAGGATAATAACCATGCCACTGGTTGGTAAATGGGAGCCCTCTAGCAATCCGCCGGGCTGATGAATCCGCGCAAAATAAGCCAAAGCTAAAAACCCGGTCGATGCTAGCTCACTTCCTTCTTTTCAGCTTCACAAGTGCGGGGTAGCAGCTATTAAGCATTAGGTTAAGAACCTCCCCCCCCGCCCCCGCAAAAAAACGAAACTAAGTTGGTACTCTCCTTCCACTTCAACCTCTTCCACACAGCGTGTCCGTCATTTTTGGACACCAGCGCCGGTTTATCGTTTCAGGGTGCCCTCTTTGATGTTTTCGGGAACCCAGCAGAACCGCCGCCTTTTGGGGCGCGGGGGTACGTCCCAGCCGCAGCTCCCGCAGCCGCTGGAGCTCCTCCAGGTGCGCCCCGGTCTCGCCTCCCGCGTCGCCGCTCGGCGACGCCGTGCGCAGAGCGTCCATCTCCTGCGATGGGCACGACCCATGGCCCATGGGGCGAAGTGAGCATGGCTGTGGGTCAAAAATAGGTACGCAACATGGAACCCTGGTAAATTGACACATTGACTCAAACTGCGGTTTTCTGGGGCCCATTCCCATATCACTTTTTCTGGGGAGGGGTTTCTTCTTGGGGAGGGTTTTGTACCCGCCAAAGACGACGTTCCGTGGCTCCCTTAAGAGGAACCCTCATCATTATCTAACCTCCCTAGTGAGGCATTGATGACCATCCTTGCCAAGCCCAAGCAAAGGAGTGATTTGACTATGGCACATGTGGGCCCAGTGGAAGCGCTGGACACAAGATGCGGGGTGCAAAATGACAGCTTTACAGCAAGGCTGGTCAATGGCAATGGCAGGATGCTGTCGGTACCATCCGTTTAAAACAGTGTTGCACAACTTCTGTCTTGAGTCCCTTAAGGGGAGCAAGCTCACGTCTAGGTTGACATGGAATCAAGACTAGAACTTCAGGGTCACCCCCTTCCCTGAGTTTCATGGAGACCAGACTCGAAGACTTTACCCTCCCAATGATTGTGGAATATGTAATGCAGGATCAAACCGCGGCGTCCATGCGGGCATCAAAAGGGAGGGTGCTCGAACTCGAAGGCCGGCCTTCTGCACTCGTTCGAGCTCAGAACGGAGATGCGTCACCGTTGGCCGTGCTTTGAATTGCCGCGAACCTTCGATGGGCACATCCCCCGCATAGCCTGCCTGAGTCGGCCAGCATGCCATGTGTGCTGGGCGATCAAAGCAGCCCACGGAAGGGTCTGGCACACACAAGCCAGGCAAAATACTGGGCCACATCCAGTTAGACATTCTGTTAGTTGCCAGTTTCAGCTGGCAATCTGGCAAACTGAGAAAACTGAATCATTGGGTTGTGCAATGCACACAATGAACACGTGACGGCAGTAACTACACAGCCAGGCGACCGTACTGGCTCCTCCAAGTTGGCTTGGGGCAGCAACAGGCTGCATTGCCTGCCCTGTGGCCTGCGCCGGCTGAGCAGCCTGTACAGGCTGCATGATTGACACTTGATGTGTCGCTTCCTGTACTGGCTGCATCGGCAGCATGGACTGCACTGGCTGTGCTATCTGGGCTGGCTGCACAGATTGCACTGCCTGTGCTGGCTGCGGCAGTTGTGATTGCGTCCCGGGCATTGCAGGCGGCATGCTCGGGCTGCTTGGCACGCTGCTTGGCATGCTACCTGGCTTGCTGCTTGGTATGCTGCTTGGAGTGCAACTTGGCATGCTGCTTGGCACGCTGCTTGGCATGTTACCTGTGCTTGGTATGCCGCTTGGCATGCTTGGCATGCTTTCTAGCATGCTGGCTGGCATGCCACCTGTGCTGCTTGGTATGCTGCTCGGCGTGCTGCTTGGCATGCTTGGCATGCTTTCTAGCATGCTGGCTGGCATGCCACCTGTGCTGCTTGGTATGCTGCTCGGCGTGCTGCTTGGCATGCTTGGCATGCTTTCTAGCATGCTGTTTGGCATGCCACCTGTGCTGCTTGGTATGCTGCTTGGTATGTTGCTTGGTATGCTGCTTGGTATGCTGCTTGGCGTGCTGCTTGGCATGCTTGGCATGCTGCTTGGCATGCCAGGCAAAGTGGGCATGTCAGCCTTCTCACCATCATCCACAAATCTTAAAACCGGAGCGGGCCGTCCTTGAGCTTCCCCAAGAGGTGCTGCGCTTTTCAACGGGGAGTGGTCCGTGGCCTCTGTCTTAGACATGGAAGCTGCAGGGTCCACTTTGTCGAAGCAAGGAGTTGCTTTCGTGGGCCTAAGGCAACGTGCCACTCAGGCTCGGTGTTTGAGCTGCCAATTGAAAAGCCACTACTGGGCTTCCTCAGATCCATTGCAAAGTGTAACTTGTAGTGAGTTAAATGGACACCCCCACTAAACCAACTAAAAAGCTAAAACCTCAGGAACCGAACGGCTGGGAGCCACTAAAGCCACAAATGTCCGACATTCCGAAGTCGTGCGCTCTAAGTGCCACTGCGGCCAAGGTTCCAGCCAAAGTCCTCCTGGTCTCAGCGAAACCAACAAACGGATGCACGGAGAGAGGTGCTCCCGGTTTTTGCCACCCAAGTGATCTCCGGGAGATTTGCTTAGCCGAGCCTGGTGTAAAGACGCAAATTGTGGCCACACCTATTCATGGTTGAGCTGTCCGGACATTTAGCAATCGAAGCAACAAAGGAAAGTAAAAGTCATGCACACTTTCACTTGCTGCCCCCACCAATTGGACACGAACGAATAGGGCAGCGGTAGTACCCCCCCGCGTTGACTGAGAGAACCAAATGGACCATCAACTGGTAGTGGCACCATGTCTTTCTCTAGCACCCTATCTGTTGTCAAGAATCCCGACTTCCAGGGTTGACCCGTTGATCCAAATTGCCAGGTGCTTTGATCACGGCTCATGCTCTTTGGGACGGTGTTTCAACAATTAGTCACCTCCTCCCACAAAAAAGACATGAAATGGCCGTGAGTCAAAACCAATGGTACCATTTTGGGGTAGGTGCACCACCCATTTTAGAACCTATTTGAGTGGGGATTGGGATGTTCACTGGGGGTACGATGTGGATTTTGAAAAGCCCATGGCCAAATAACTGGAATTCAGGAGGAAGCGCTTCGAAAGGTCCTCCAGCACCGGCGCGTCTGGGCGAAGTGCCGAGGGCGGCAGCGGCGGCATCAAGGGGCCCCGGGAATTCCGGCGCTCAGCCGCTGCTGTCAAGGCCGGCGGGGCCAAGGCCTCATTCGAGGAGAATGCGAGTGTGTGTGTGTGTGTGTCAAAGATTCAAAGGGCTCCCCACAATGGGGGGGGGCCTTTGGGTGTCGGGAGTTGAAGCACTCACTTGGGTTCTGATTCGATCGCCGTGTTTTCTTCAAACGAGCCGTGTTTGCAAGAACTCTGCAATGTCTCTTGCGGAACGCATCAACCTTGGGGTGGCGACAAATTGCTTTCTCTGGGCAATCTGGGCCGGGCTTTTCAGCGAGGCTCACACTGAGCTGCGGGCTTTATCAGGTCTGGGACCGCCGGTGCTCTGGGGCCTGCAAGCTCAGTTGGGTCGCATTTCGCCCTCCCAGCTCACTGACTCACTGACTCAGAGACGCACTCCCTCGCTCCCTCGCCCTCGCTCCCACACGTTGAACGAGTGGAAGAGGAGGAAGAGTGAAGCAAGAACGATATGGAAAGACAAGGACGAACACAAGTGACAGCAACAGTTCAAAGTGGGAGGAAGCGTAGAAGTGAGAGTGACTTAGGGCGCAGCAAAGTGTGGAAAGAATCAGAGAAGAGTACGACATACAAAGAGAGGGGAAGAGAGAAATGAAGGCATGAACAAGACGTACAAAAATAAGAAGCATATAACGAAAAGAACAAGAAAGAAAGCAAGGAAGGAAGCAAGAAAGAAGGAAAGGAAAGGACAACTGAAAAGGAAAGAACAGAACAGAACAGACCATAAAAAAGAAACAAACAAAAAAGAAACAAAGAAACAAAGAAACAAACAAACAAACCAACCAACCAACCAAGAAACAAAGAAAGAAAGAAAGAAAGAAAGAAAGAAAGAAAGAAAGGGAACAAAAATAAATGAATGAAATGAATGAAATGAATGAAATGAAATGGAATGAAATGAAATGAAATGAAATGAACTGAACTGAACTGAACTGAACTGAACTGAACTGAACTGAAATGAATGAATGAATGAATGAATGAATGAATGAATGGATGGATAGATGGATGGATGGATGGATGAAATAATTAATGAATGAATGGATGGATGGATGGATGGATGGATGGATGAAAGAATGAAAGAAATAATGAAAGAAGGAAGGAAGGAAGGAAGGAAGGAAGGAAGGAAGGAAAGAAAGAAAGAAAGAAATAATGAAAGAAGGAAAGAAGGAAGGAAGGAAGGAAGGAAAGAAAGAAAGAAAGAAAGAAAGAAAGAACGAAAGAAAGAAATAAATAAAGAAAGAAAGAAAGAAATAAAGAAAGAAAGAAAGAAAGAAAGAAAGAAATAAAGAAAGAACAAATGAATGAAGAACAAAAAGAAATCAACAACTGAAGGAACAGGTTGCTTCCCCTGACACGCCAGGATGGCTTGACGCGGGCATGATAGCCCCTTTAGCCCCTTTTGGCACAAGGATGAAAAGCGGCCCTCCCTTTCAGATGTGTGGGTTATGAGACCCTTGCATGGCCAGGTTCCTTGGAAAGGTGGTTCAACCCAATTTTGCCTCAACTCGACTTGCCAAGGCACTTCAAGCCGCCAGGCGCTCCCGGTCCTATGGAGCCCACAGGCCCCATGCCCATGGGGCCCTTTCCGCCTATCGGACCCATGGGGCCCATGGGGCCCATGCCCTTGGGTCCCGTGGGTCCCGTGGGTCCCATGGGTCCCATGGGGCGGCCGTCCGGCCCGAAGCCCTTGCCCATGCCCTTGATGCCAGGCATGCCCTTGCCTGTCAGGATCGGACTCTTGTTACTGTGGGAGGGCGGTGTCTCAGGGTGGGGGATGGGGTGGGTGGGGGGGGAGGGAGGGTGGGCGGGCGGGCGGGCGGGTGGGTGGGCAAACAAGCGCTGGAGTTGGTGGCCGGTTGCTGTGTTGACCAATGACAACAGAGGAAAGGAAACAACCGATATGATTGGCCAAATGTTGACCCCGGATGCCAGGTCCCACCCAAAAAAGAAGAAGAGTGATGCATTTTTCCTGAAAAAATCGACAGTTTGCGCTTCGCACTTCCCCGCGCAGCTCCCGTGCCTGGTCCGAATGCCTGGCTCGCGGCCGCAAGGTGCGAAGTGTGAGGTGTGAGGATCCATTGGGGCGGCCGACATAGTCTTTGTGACACCCGATAGTAATTTCATTGCCAAGCCAGGCATCCCGAGCATTGACACCACTGTCGAAAGCTGTAAATTATCAGCGCAGGCCAATGCTGCGGCTAGCTTTGTATGAATTAGTCTGGAACATGCGGCCAGGTGATGTGCTCGTCATTCGCGAATGGCTAGGCCATTGAAGAAATTCGATCACGCCCAGTGTGTTGGAGGGCTAATGTCCAGCGCTCACATATTTTGGCTCATCACGCAAACAAGCCCGTGAGCGCCATCTCAGCACACCGTGCATACCTTTTCATTTCAGAACAAGAAGTTGACGACTTACAGGAAATTCCCCAACACTGCGGAATGGTGAGCCAAAAGACTGTTCTCTGTCCCCTCGGACTTTTGTGGCTCTGCGCAAGCTGTCTCGTATCCTCAGGAACGCTTAGACATGCCCGCCTGGTGTCTTTCGCCCCAGCACACGTCCGAAACACTTCCGCGACCCGCGGACGGAGCATCCAGCCTGGCCCTTTGGCGCTCCCTTCATTGCTCCCTTGTCCATGGCTCCTTTGAAGCATGGACCTGACGAGGGAGCAAAGAGCTTGTCAAATGGTCCCGTTGAAAAGCACACCCTTCCTGTTGTTTCAACCCACTACTCTGCTCTTTACCACAAGGGAAGGAAAGCCAGAAACACATGAAATATCTTACGAAGGGAACACCACGGGCATTGTGATTGGCGCAACAGAGCAACAGATCGCACGCAGCTTGAAATTCGAGCCTGGGTAGGCGCCAGCAGCAGCCATGGCTAGACAAAACCAGACTCCTTCTTAGAAGCAATCAGCCAGGGCTCAGACCTCTGCTCCTTTACTACCTAGGGCTTGGAAAAAAGCTTCCATTCTCGCTCGCCTGCCTCATGCCATCGGCGAGAAATGGACAAGAGTTTATGTGGGATGGGTCTTTGATAAAAGTGCGAGCACGGCAGCAGCTGCCTGGGGGCCAAATTGGCTACAGGATCCCACGGCGGTCACAGCGGTCGGCCTTCAGAGCAGTGCGTCCTCGTGTCCAGGACAAGCCCAAATGAAATCAGCGAGTAAACCAAAACAAGCCAGATCGAAATTCAGGTTCCCCACATTGGACCCTCACTTCAAGAAGGGCTTGGCATCTTGTCACCAGCAAGCAGCGGCATCCCAAACACCTCTGGCCCGACCCGAGCGCCGCTCGGGAGTGCCAACCCCCCCCCCGCTGTGGCGAGCCTGGACCCGCTGCCTCGGCTTTTTGCTTTCGAGCCAGAGGAAGCCCGGGCACAACTTAAGGTCCCTGCAACAATCTAACCTAAATGGTGCGACCACCACAAAGCGAACAATCAGGATTGCTGGATTTGAAGCTAATCCAATTACCCGTCGTGAAAACAAAATGAGCGCTGCGCAGGTGACCCCTTTGCCATGCACCATGCATAGCGAGTTTGAAGCACTCACAACCACACTTCAGTTAAGCTAAATGCAGCCACCTTGCAGCACTTTTTCAGGTGAGTCTTGCTTGTCATTACCACTCTAAGTCGTTTAACCCTCCAATTTCATGTTGCGCAGCTTCTGCATCTGCCAGCAGCCCAATGGTTTCTTCCGCAACGTCATCTGCTTCAGAACGCTTCCGCAGGCTTCCACGCACATGCCTCTGCGCCTTGATTTATGGCTGCTGACGCGCGCGCGCGCCTTTTTCCCTATGTATGTCTGGTGTGAGCATGAAGTCAGTTTCTTGCTTGGTTGTCAGGGATACGGCCTTTCGGCTGCAACCGCTGGCCCTAAAATGGTCCCTGCACGCGGTTCGTGCAACGCTACGATTCGTTTCTCCTGGCCGTTGCTTGTGCAACATGATTTGCATTTCTGTGCATACGTGCGGCCTTTCTATCTCACTGCTCAATCAACGCTTCAAGGCAATTCCCCATCTCAAACAAATGATTTCCTCGGAGCAGCCGCTAGCGGGGGTTGGGGGGGGACAAACTCTTGCGGGCTTCTGCGTCTCCAGGTCCCGGACTGAAGCTGGCGCCGCCTGTCGACCCGCACCCGCTGTTGGGGAATCCCACCCGTTTCTGAACGATGCGAACCTCTCCAGCTGCGTTCATGGGATCGTATGGGAATAGCTGCGGTTCAGAACTGATTGAGCTTGCTTGCGAAGAGGAATCCACCCCAGAGGTGTTTGCCCCAGAAGTGGAGGTCTTTGGACCGCCCTCAGCTTGAAAGAGCAACTGAAGGGCCCGGCAGGCGCACTGGGACCCCCCCAAATCAAACTGCCAGATATGGCTGAAGGCACTCTACTTGTAAACTGGAGGCCTCTTGCCGGCTCCCCAGACCTGCGTGGATTCCTTTTGGTCCCATGGACCCAACAGCATTCCGAGCCAAGGAACCACACCCATGGAGTCATCCCATACCGATTGATGGCTTGATATCAAGCCAACGACGGAAGATAAAGGCAGACAACACGGATAACACACGCGCCCCGAGCACAAACAATCATAGGGCCATAGGAGAAAGCATGATATGCTAGCCAAAAGGCTTCATGGCCAAAGTGATTGTCACGCTAAGGTATGGCAGACCCAAGATAGCATCCTACTAAAATCCTGACACAAGTCATTTGGAGAAACAAATGGACAAAAAACATAGAAACACAAACACCCTCTCAAGGTCAAAACAAACAGTCCTGTACAGAAACGCGCAGAACTCCCCCAAACAACAACGTCAGCAACAAAAACAAGAAAATTAAGCGGGGGTGCGTCGGAATAGTGGTCCAGACACCCAAACGGAATGGTGGTTGTCCCTCTGGTTCCCACCCCAAAAGCAAATGGGTATGTGTCACAAATAGGGACCCCAACAGTTGCTGTCTTTATTTATTTAATTATGTATTTTCGCTTCCGAGGATGCGAAGCGAGCTGAAACAGACAAGGCACGTGCCCCAGGCAACACCGTGGGTGAAAGTCCTCACGAGCCTTGTAAAATGTTCTGCTCAACCCAGCTGCCACTATAATTGGTAGCTAGGGACGCCGTCAACGGTACCCGTCGCCTCAAAAACAACACGGTACCCGCCGCCTCAAAAACAACAACAACAACAACAACAACAACAACAACAACAACAACAACAACAACAACAACAACAACAACAACAACAACAACAACAACAACAACAACAACAACAACAACAACAACAACAACAACAACAACAACAACAACAACAACAACAACAACAACAACAACAACAACAACAACAACAACAACAACAACAACAACAACAACAACAACAACAACAACAACAACAACAACAACAACAACAACAACAACAACAACAACAACAACAACAACAACAACAACAACAACAACAACAACAACAACAACAACAACGACAACGACAACGACAACGACAACGACAACGACAACGACAACGACAACGACAACGACAACGACAACGACAACGACAACGACAACGACAACGACAACGACAACGACAACGACAACGACAACGACAACGACAACGACAACGACAACGACAACGACAACGACAACGACAACGACAACGACAACGACGACAACGACAACGACAACGACAACGACAACGACAACGACAACGACAACGACAACGACAACGACAACGACAACGACAACGACAACGACAACGACAACGACAACGACAACGACACGACAACGACAACGACAACGACAACGACAACGACAACGACAACGACAACAACGACAACGACAACGACAACGACAACGACAACGACAACGACAACGACAACGACAACGACAACGACAACGACAACGACAACGACAACGACAACGACAACGACAACGACAACGACAACGACAACGACAACGACAACGACAACGACAACGACAACGACAACGACAACACAACGACAACGACAACGACAACGACAACGACAACGACAACGACAACGACAACGACAACGACAACGACAACGACAACGACAACGACAACGACAACGACAACGACAACGACAACGACAACGACAACGACAACGACAACGACAACGACAACGACGACCACAACAACAACAACAACAACAACAACAACAACAACAACAACAACAACAACAACAACAACAACAACAACAACAACAACAACAGCAGCAGCAGCAGCAGCAGCAACAACGACGACGACGACGACGACGACGACGACGACGACGACGACGACGACACACAACAACAACAACAACAACAACAACAACAACAACAACAACAACAACAACAACAACAACCACAACAACAACAACAACAACAACAACAACAACAACAACAAGGCAACAGGCTTAGAAAAACAACATCTGCGCTCTCTGGGGGTTCAACCTCAAAAACAGGGTCCCCTTTGCAGAACTTGGCTCTGTCGACCCTCTGCACAAAGTGCTTTTCTATGGGTCCAATTCGGCACATCCGACCTGTGTCAACGAAAAAAATGAAGTCCAAAGATCCGTTACCAAATAGTGTCATTAGCCATAAAGACAATTGAGTTGGCTTGCTTTCCCTTGGTTTGTTACTACGAGCTTCTTAACCGCAACAACTTTAATATACGCTTGGAGCTGGAATTACCCGCGGCTGCTGGCACCACACTTGCCCCTCAAAAGGAAAGTCCTTTTGGACATCTGAGGCGCCGGCTCCATCTCGAGCTGCATCTGGGCCTGGCGCAGCTCCTGGCGGCCGTTTCTTCCGCTGGGCTTTCAGCTCTACTTAGATGGTCCCGGAAGGGGCGGGGGGCGCGGGGGGGCGAAGTACTGACAGCTCTTTGAGAAGTTGTGGTGTTGCTGATTCATAGGAAAAGTCGCACCCGTGTCAATTGGCCAACTGACGAAACTATCATTGGATTCTGGTCCATATTTTGCAAACCAATTCAAACAAGATCTCCGCGTTGCTGCTCTGCGTCTTTGGCGTATGAACAAGGGCTATGTGATTCCACTCTTAGAGGAAGCGAACATAACCCAAAGAAACACAACCTTTCCAAGAGACGAACCAATATTCAAGAAGCAAATGGTCGTGGCCATTGTAAGAAGTTGCATCCTTCGTTTGCTGACGAAGCTCACCACCACCCACCCAACCAGCTAAACCAAAGCAATTGTGCGTTATGCTTCCCCACCCCTCGGAGAGCCCAAGCGGAGGAAGGGGTTTGAGTTGCAATACTGTTGAGCTTGCCGTCCTCCTGCTCCTTCCGCAGCTGCTCCTGCTTCGATGCGAACTCCGCCTGGCAAGCAACCAACGGCCGGCCGGAGACGTCGTCAGGGATATCTGGGACCCAAGACACCTCCCTCCCTGAAAGCTTTGGAACCCTTGGCCCGATTTTGGTTGGGGCAGAGATGTGTGCGTATATTGGGACCCTTTGAGGACACGAGATCTTATTCTCCTTCGTTTGGTCGCCTAGAGTCCTAGAGGTCCATGCCAAATAGTCAGATGTAGTCAGATGAGTTGCGACCGAAGGGAATCTGGTCTCAGACCCATGCCTGCCAAAAAACCTCCTTTCATGTGCAACCAACTCCGTAATTGTATGAGATGGCACGACTCGGTGCACATGGACACTTTGAGCGTCTTGTGTCGAAATCATCGCAAGGCCACAGCGTGCAAATCCCTGACCTGCTAGCACTCCTTGGCAGTGACGGGGAAAGCCCGCGCCAGTTGAAGTCGTCAACAGGACACATCCGACCACGAAGTTGAAATGCGGCAGAGGCAGCTCGGCACGGCAATGCTTGCGCCGGCCTCCGCCTTTTGCCGCTCTCTGGCAGCAGCCTGAGTGTATGGCTCGCCGTCGA